TCTCTCTCTCTCTCTCTCTCTCTCTCTCTCTCTCTCTCGTCTTTCTTTTCCTCGGAACAGTTTCGATCATTCGTCTTCTTGGCTCGTTCGTCTCGCATCAGCCTCGAGTCGACTTCTTTTTCCGGGAGGCGATCTCGACCCTCGACCTCCATGACTGATAACCCCTTTCCATTCTTCGTAGCATCTTTCTCATCCGAAGGAACTTCGTATCTACAGCTTTCTCGGTAAGTACGCGATCGTGATCAAACGACGGTTTCATTAGGAAAAACCAGATCATCCAGCCGCGATAGAGGCAGTATAGTCGAGGATGATGTCGCGGTATACCGATCGTTCCCTCGTTTTCATTGTTCTTCGTCTATGTTTCGTCGTCGCAATCGTCTACGCGGTACGTGATTCCACTCTTCTTATTGCTCTTTCACACCGGAAGGGTGCTTCTTTGGTTACGCGGTTTCAACAACCTGGCGGGAAGATTTGTTTAAGGATTGATGATGATGGCTGGAATCGATGATGAGAAAATGATTTATTCTTTTATTTCTCTTTGAATGTTGATTTGAATTTTAATTCTTTGGATGTTTCTTTTTTTTTTTTTTGCTGCGGTGAATTTTTTTTCTTTTTGATGATTTTGCAGGGAAGATTTCTTTGTGAATGTTGTTGTGAGGAACGTGTGGCGATGGATTGATGGAAGAAAATGAGCGGCAGTTTTGTCCAATTTTGTGAATATCACGATTTTTTTATTTTGTAGAAAACGATTTAGCGGATTTGGAGGATGAATTAGAGATGAAATTTGTGACGTTTTGGTAATTGGATTTGGTTTTTGCGCAAATTGTTGATTATTATTAAATCTTCTACGTAGTAACTGTTTTTCGTTCTTAATTGTGGTCGTCGGAGAAGTATGTTATTAATATTTATTAACTAGATAAGCGCTGATAAGGTGGACGATAAAAGTAAAGAATATGGTCTGAAATAATTAAAGCAGAAAAATTGGTTATATGTGTAGGTTACTTTCGATAATGATTTTCAATGATTCTCTTTGTTTGTATCGTTGCTTGCTTCTGTGATGGCAAAGTGTATAAGAAATTTAATACATTCGTGTACAACAATATTATTATTTTTAAACATTTGTTTAAAAGTGTCATGTGTTCTTTTTTGCATTTAAAATTAAATTGTTGATTCAGATCAATTTAAAAATCTATTATCATTCTTCATAATTCTATGTAATACAATCTATCAGAATTTAAGTACTTTTATCACACTTTTCTCAATTTTTAATTTACACGTAGATCTATGATCCCAAAGAAACGACAACAAAACCGCCAAAACGAAGAGAACCAGTGCTTCCTTGGTATTCACCTGGTCCAATCGATTCCAACGAAGATCTATCACGTTCTGCAAAATGGCAAGGGGATTCAGATTACCCGATTCCTCGAAAACCGTACGTAATAGAGGCTGGGACGAAAACTTGGAGCCCCTGGAAAAAGAACAAGGGAAGTGAGATCGAGCAGAGAACAGAGATCACGAGTGATTCTCAAAGCACGACAAATTTTGAACAAGATGACGATCTTTCTTCGAAGTACAATGATCAACAGAAAAATGAACAAATAGGGATAAAAGATGAAAAGTATTACGAAGGAATACCTGCTGACAGCACGGTAATAATTTATTTGAAAATTTGTTATAAATAATTTTATACAAATATTGACTTTCCTCAGATTTTACTTCAAAAAGTTAGAAACATTATTTTGATTAAGTTTATCTCGAACATTAAATATAAGGATCGTTGAAAAATAAAATTCATTATCTCAATTAAACTTTATTAATATTAGATATTTCAGCATCTATTTTGTTGGAAGTTTTTCTCAATGACAAAAATATAATTTTTCTTAAAATTTTTATTACTTTTCCAGAAACCTCGCGAAGAGAAAATTTTTGTTTCAACAGAAACGAAATGGACAGTGGCTCGATATGACTCGAAACATGGCGTTCAATGTCCGGAATTCGATTCGACTGGACAATTCGTATATCCCCCGGATTGCAAATTTTTCGTGAACTGTTGGAAGGGCAGAGCTTTCGTTCAAGCATGTGCTCCTGGTACACTCTTCAATCCAAACACGTTGGAATGCGATTTTCCGCAAAAAGTGAAGTGCTATGGGGAGGAAATTAACAATTATTATAATTTTCCAACGATCGAGCATTTAGATTCTTCTAGGCTGCAGGTCTAAATTTAATTAGCCATTAATTGAAGTTAATTTGGTCTTTATTGTAACTGAGATTTACAAAATATTTTTTGTTGCGTGTAAATTTCAACAGGAGCCAAAATGTCCGCCTCATGTAACAGGATTGATAGCACATCCCTCGGATTGTACAAAA